TTGAGCGCCGAAATGGGGGTGAAGTCTAACCCTAAGAAGAACCAGGAGTTCGCGGATGAACAGCGTTATCTCGGGTTCATCTGGAATGGAAAGGACCATTCCGTCAGATTACCGGAGGAAAAGTTGGAGGAAAGACTTGCCTTGATAAGAGAGTTGTTGGTCGAAGGCGCGACGTGGAAATACGCCCAGATAGACAGCATCTTAGGGAAGCTGGGTCATACAGTGAATATAGTCCCCCACATGGCAGCCTACCTCCGGTCCTTCTACCGATGGTTGAAGAGTTGGGTCAATCCTCAAGCAGAGAGGAAGGTGCCTTCAGACGTAAAGGACGACCTGGAAGAGTGGCTCACCTGCTTGACAACTTTTGACTCACGTCCACTAGTGACGTGCTCGAAGCCCTTGGAAATCGGTTGGGTAAATGACGCGTCGTCGTCTTTCGGGTGAGTGTCACGTACCGTATTGTTTTGTTACGTTGTAGGCCGTGACTAACCGGACATGCTTGTTAGGATCGGAGTACTGGTGGATGCTAACTGGGCGAGTTTTAAATTTATTGAAGGCTGGCAAACTTTTCGGCTACAAAATGGGAAACGCTCGATAGCTTGGGCTGAGACCGTGGCCGTGAGGCTGGGTCTCCTGGTCCTGGACAAGATCTCGTCAGTGAGAGGAAAAACATTTTGGGTAGACACCGATAACATGACGACAGAAGCCGGCCTTCGGAAGAGGAAGTCTAAGGATGCCCTCGTAAATGAGGAGCTGAAACAAATCCAGCATCTACTCACTAATTTAGGTTGCAACGTGAAACAGAGGAGAGTGGTTTCCGGGGATAACAAAGCAGATGGACTATCCCGAGGCATCCTCGGAGATCTCGCTTGGTACAACGAAGTTCTGATTCAGGTGCCAGAAGATCTTCGCTTCATTTTGCATCAAATTACCCTGAAGAACGATGAGGAAATCCCCTTCTAGAAAGTCAGAGACAGTCACCTCGAACGAGCCGACGGAAGGTGATCTGCGGAAACTTACAAAGGCGTACGGAACATTCAAGAAGAACGCTCATGGAGTAGACGTCTCAAGAGATGACAAGGTCCAAACCCATTTCTTGAGAGGCACCTGGGCAGACGGAACATTAAAACACTACAATTCAGCTATCGTGAAGTTACACAGATTCGCATCAGTGAAAAGGTTGAATGCAAATGAACTCTTACCGATATCGGGAGACAGGATGAAGGAGTTTGTCGTATGGGGTTCTAAGAAGGTAGACGAGAGGGCGAAAGACGATGAATCGGTCAGCTCGAGAACTCTAAAAGCCTACGTAGCCGGGATCAAGGCATGGCACCTCTTCCACAACGCTGTTTACCCGTCACACATCGACGGCGCGGTCGCAGGGCTCTTGAAAGCCTCGCGTGCTATTGAGGCAGAATTCAAGAACAAGGAAAAGAAACGCCCACCGGTGATGGTGTCCGATCTCGTCGTCCTGTGCGAACACCTTCCGAACAAGGGGGAGAAAGGCCTGGCAATCCTAGCTTTGGCACTCGTCGCATTCTGGGGGACAGCGAGGTTAGGCGAGTTGGTTACCAACGAGGACTCGGACAAGGTACCTAGATGGGAAGACATAGCTGGGGGAAAAGGAGACGTCAACGTCAGAATCACCTTGAGGAACGCAAAAACCGCGGGTCCGGGAGAAGTTCAATTCATACACCTCCAAGAACAAAAGTCGACCCTGAATCCGGTGAAGGCCCTACGGAAGCTGTTCGATTATCGACCCAGGAACCCGTCAGATAGGATCTTCTCAATAGGGTCCGGTAAAAGTCGCGAAATCCTCAAGAAAAATGAAACAGTGACATACCTGAGAGAGATTTGGAACGAGAATAGATCAAAGAAAAATCAACTTCTGTATGGTCATTCGTTCAGAATCAGGGGGGCCTCGTTAAGATGGAACCTCGGAGCTTCGAGAGAAAACCTCAAATCCTGTGGAAGGTGGTCTTCAGACGCGTACAAGATATACCTTCGAAAGTATTCAGATAGGGAGCTAAGTTCGACGAAGAAGCTACTGAATGATTTGAAGATTTCATACGGAAAATGACAAGCGGTTTGAGAAGACCTCGGGCGGGGGAAAAATTTTAAAAAACCTCACTCTGATGTGTATATGATTTAGTTGGAAGGTAGCTTCAGCGTCCTTCGAGTTTGTTCAGAAAATAAAGTTCTCCTTTTGTAAGGATCAGCGCGCAGATCATCTGAATTGGCCGCGGATTTGTGGTGACAATATAAAGTTTAATTTCCCATACAGAAAGGATGCGTTTAGGGGAAAGATGAACGGGAGTGTTGAGAGTTGTTGAGACTCACGCAGACGAGAGATTTGGGGGCTTCTCATGGCTCACGGCTCTTCGTTTACGTGAGTCTAGGGGCTGAGAAGCCCACATCTCCGAGAGCTCTGTTCTCGCCTCAGAGAGGTTCGAGGTATGATCTGAGGATCTTATAATACCTCTGCTCCTGTCTGGGGCCCACCCCACACCACTTTACACACAAACAAACAAACATGTAAGTCTGTGTCTAAGGTGGAAGAACTTTCGCTCCTGGTATTGTAGGTTCCTTAAGCACGGGCTCAGTCACCAGTCATAGTCATATTCGACATAGACTTACCACCTAACAACTGTCTATCACACACACGTGAGAAATAGACAGGTCTCACCCGTTCGGCGAGTTTTGATCAGACTTCTTCAAAGGAAGTCAACTGAGAAAGAAGCTCACCTCGATCATTGTAATTCTACTGTAAGGTTTTTTTTTGAATGCCTAACATACATATATGCAACTGCCATCATCCATCAATCAGGTTGATCTTGATTCTTGACGGGTACTTACTCTTATTGTTTTTGATTGCATCTGAATTTGGTCAAACGGATTTTCCTTTACCACGTTCTTTCCTTTTGCCGTCTTCAAAACATTCAACACAGCATTGACTCTTGAGGGTAAGATCGGAATTGAGAAACCCATGAGTTTGCATACATACATATATTCCATATCATCGCCAAGTTTGATCTTGTACATAGATTATGAGCTCACTACTTGACGTCAGCTTAAGTAAGCCCCTCACGAGCGCGTTCTTTAAGCTTAAGTAATTTGACGCAACCCGTACAAGAACGTTCAAGACGCCATCCTCCACAATTTTTCAAAACATGCGCAGTAGATCACTGCGGGTTCTTTAAGGAATTGTACTATTTTTGTGTACATACAACAGACAAAGAGCTCTTTTAGTTTTTCATTTCGGTTCTGCATGCATCGAGGAAGCTTATATAAGCACGACTCCGACACGAGTGAAGAGATAAGTTTAAGATTAATGAGCACACAAGGTTCAAATATCAAGACGCTAGAAGATCAGCTGAGGAGGAATCGGGTAAATCGAAGGAGAAGGAGAACCGATGTGGAGGTGAGATCAAAAGTTAAAACTGAACTTCATGATCTAAAGTTGATTGTACTTTATTTTAGGGATGAAAAATGGCTGTGTATGTCAAGATGGTGCATTTGCTTTGACAATCATTCTTATACTTTTTCTCGGTTGGATTTCTCATTAGGTTCTTCACGTTTGTTTTTAGGTCCCGTACACGTACATAGCTTTCATCTGGTATCTTTTTTCTTTGCACTTGATCGTTGGAATACCATAGTTCCTTTTGTAGAACCTTAAGTTACTTTCACCTCCTGCTCAACTTTGTACAGCACTATATAATCTTTGACAGTCAAAACGGTGGACATAGCAGTGGGCCGAGGCAAGTCAGGTGATCCTTCCGTTGGATAATCTTTTGCCAAGCCGGCGACTTTCGAATTAGTAGGATTTCTAAAGTGTACAACATACATACCATACCATACAAAGCTGAGCATTTATGCATATTTCCTTCAATCCGAGATGGTTTCCTCAACCCTCCACTCTGCATCCCCCCTTGTGTACAGTTTAGACCCAAAAACTGAGCGAGACAGTCACAGACGCTCAGGACGATTTCTATCTACTCGATTGCCTGGTAGTAGTACATAGTGTGTGTGTGTGTGGTAGGCAAGGCACGTGTTGTGGGGATGATAAACGCTAAAGTTGAGTGTTTTAGTCATTCAATCAGATCAACACTCCTGATGCAATCAGATCAGTAAGCGATAACTTCCTAATTGTATATATAAATATATGAATATAAATATAGGATGTAGAACTTGAAGAGAAATGATGATCGGATGTTATCTAATCCATAAACTTCAAGACTTTTGATAGTTCTCCTATATCTGAATTGAAAGTAATTGTGTAGGTATCATCAACTCTTCTTCCGGATTTCCTCAAGTAAGTCGCAGCGTTCATTGAGATCTATCATCATCCATCATCATTCGTCATCTCGATTTCCTTTAATCCGAGAAGATTACTCTCTCTCTCTCTCTCTGTTTGAATATGTAGGCTCTTTATCATCAAGACTTAAACCCCTTTCCCTCTCTCTCTTTCTCTGTCTCTTGGTCTCCCTTTTTAAATCTCATATAAAAGATAATAATCAATTACGGTACTCAAAGTGACAACGGATCTTATCTTTCATGCCGATTCTCAACTACATAAAAGCTGACCAGTATCTTTTCTTCCTTTTCTCTTTTGATCGATCCACTTTAAACAAAACAACCACTTCATTCATCCAAGTTCAAGCTTTCCGTTAAACCCTGCATACATACCTTAGGAAAACTTATCTAATACTAGTTTACTTTTAATAATCTACTTTTTTATCTTCTTTCTATTCTTCTTTCATTCATTCATTCCTTAATACCTTTATAACCGATTGACTCTTTCGAAGAAACCCATCTCTCAGCACCCAATACTCCAAATCACTCAAACACGTGGGTCTTCTTTCCGATCAAACTTTTTTTACTTTCGCTTGCTTATAAACCCTACCTGATCTTTTCCGCATCTCATGAATCCACTAACAATCTTTTTCCTGGCTTATCTATCTGAAATGTGTTGTTTGCAGTTAATTTGGTTTTCTAATAAGATGAGAAGATCAAGTCTAGATTCCATCATTTCATCCATCGAAACCTCAAGTCCAAGTTCTCCAGATCTCAAATCACAATTCTCATCAAACCCAACACTCGAAACGATCAAAGTACCAAACCAAACTACCTCAACATCAACTCTACATCATTCATCAAATCCAAGCCACAAACGATACTTAAAACTTTGGTCAACTTATCATTCTAAAGAACAAGAAGAAGAAGAAGTGGGTAAGAAAAGAAACAAGTTATCTAAATCGAAGGGTAGATTCAATTTACCTTTATTTAGGAAACCTTGGAAGCGTTCTAGGTTTATAAAAACGAGTTTCCAAAAACTTAGTACAACCCATCAATTCTTTCTACCTCATGACCCATCCACCCCACTTCATCCCAACCAAGCTCCAACACCCACATCCACCAAACTAAACTTATCCAACATGTATCCTATAATTCCAGAATCAGTAAGACCTACAAGTAGGACCAGTAGTTCACCAAGGATTTCATACGATTCGACTTACACTACAATCGATTATCCAGATTCGATTAGGAATAGTACTGGATCTGAACTTAGCTTTAGGTGTCGTGGACTGGTTTATTCTGATTCTAGTGATGAAGAAGAAATTTGGAATGGATGTGCTCATCAGAATCAGACTCTTGGGATTAAATCGGTACAGGATTCTTGCGTTTGTCAGTGTAGTCTTAGGGTTGATGATTGGGTTAGGATTGAGGATGAAGATTTGTTAGATGCTTGTGCTCTTAATGCTCATCAGACGTGATGTTGAAGTACGTAGGATTTTTGTTTCATTGGGTTTTTTTCGTCACTGATTTTTGGGTTTGGTTTAGATCTGGTATCAGGATTTATTTGATCGATTATCCTTGGAAGTACTTACGCAAAAACCGACTTCATTCCACCTAACCTTAAAAAACCGCTAAAGAAATTCAAAAATCATTCAAGAATATGTACTTTCGAATTCAATCAAACCCCCTCAAACCTATCAACCAAACCACTTTCAATAATCAAAAAAAGAAATCAATCTCATCTTTACTTTGCTTTATATGTGTACTTTCCTATCTTTTTAAAATGCTGGTCTTACCTTATTCGTTTACCAAAAGAAAGAAACTTAATTATTTACTCAAATCCTTCACCTTGAAGCTTTTTTTTTCGAGGTTTGAGCTTTGCTACTCTTGGTTTCTTAAGGATCTCTTTTTAATACTTACTGATATCTTTTTTAATACTTGTTCTTTTTTAATACTTACTTGATCTCTTTTTTAATACTTACTTGATCTCTTTTTTAATACTTACTTGATCTCTTTTTTAATACTTACTTGATCTCTTTTTTAATACTTACCTGTTCTTTTGTATTAATGTAAATATAGTTGTCAGACCTGATGAATGAATCAATGAATGAATGAATGTGTAAAAGTCTTGCAGGGTTTGGTATGGTTTTGTTTTGTTGATTTCCAAAATTCTTAATTATTTTATTTCTTTTACTCTTTGAAAAAAAAAAATCGCAATCCGTTTTACAATCTTTTCTTCTTCTTCTTTGCATATTTTAATTTAATAACACTTTTTTTGGTTTTCACTTTTTTCCTTTTTTTCTTTTCAATGATCGTTGAAAGACGTGATTGTTTTTTTAGAAGAAAATATATAATTTTTTTTAATTCAAAGTTGAATTTTCTTTTTTTCTAAATCATCATTTTTTTAAATAATAATAATTTTGAAATTTTTATTTTGAATGAATTTATCATCATCTTTGTGGAAGAGAAAAAACATTTTTGGATTTTTCCGAGTCCAATCTGCTTCGGATTATATATAGGGGATACAAAGTTGAAATCCGGCCGAAAATCTGGCCGCGTGGCCAGATTTCCAGATTCCATTTTTTGCGGTAATTCGGAATCTGGACATGAGTCCGGATTCTCTCAACTTTGAATCCCCCGACTTCAAGTTCCATGCCAACTTTCCACTACACCACCAGTCCCACATCCAATATCGACGACTCGCCCCCACTTCACATAGCAACAACTCGATACCATCGCAAAATAGCCCTCAAGAGGTCCATTCAAACAGCACGACATGCAAGAAAGGCGTATGTTCAGAACAACCTAGACTCACTTGCAATGTTTCAAGTCAATCTCGCCGGGATAGATTTTTCTTACGCATGATTCAAGCCTTACAAATCCATCAAATTGCTGTAACTGACAAGAATTGAAAGAAGGCAGCTTTCTCGGTCAACCAAACTTACAATTTAATCAATCACAACATGAACCTTATGATAGATCAATCTCAAATCTTTCGATTGATGAAAAAAGACCAACTCTTGACTTCAATTCTCACAAAGATTCCATCTGGTCTGACTATTCTTAAACTTATCTGTATCCTTCTTTGATTTGATTCGTGTGTGAAAAGATTATACAAAGGATCTAATGCAAAATTCAGAGTTCCGAAAAGTGACTCTTTAACAAAACTTCTAGATCGAGGATGTCTTTGGACTAAGATCAACTGCTATTGTCTGCCAGTTTCATTCATCCACAGGTTTGAAAGAGTCTTTGTTCTGCAGCTTGAGTTAAAACATCTAAAATCGCATGTTCAAGTGTTTTTAATTGATATGAAGCAGCTAAAGAGAAAACAAAACCAAAACCAAAAGAGTAGAATAGATTTAAATCAGATCGAATATGATTTTTAAAGTATTAATCAAGAGAAGAAAAATGATCTGTTACCGATCTGTTGTACCATTGAAGTTAATTGTCCTTTATTCAAAAAATCCGTAATCTTCACTCGATCTCGATGATTAGTTGAATTCCATAAAGGAGGATAAGGTTGATTTGAATGAGAATGAGAATGTAATGAAGATCGATTTGACTCAGAGTGTAAGGAAGGATTTCTGGGTGCCTGGTGTTGGATGAGAACGAAAATCTTGAGATTGAGGTGTTGAGTCGGATATGGAATTGAGGTGAGTGAAGAACTGGCCAGTGATCTGTTGATTTCTCTTTTTGCCAAATTTCAAGTCGTGGCCAGAAAAAAATGGAATCTGGAAATCTGGCCACGCGGCCGGATTTTCGGCCGGATTTCAACTTTGTATCCCCTAATAGTATACTGGTTTCATACGTAAAGGGGCATATGACTTTTGAAAGCTTTCCAGTGGAGCATAATCAGAACTTCATTAACATTCCCGGCAAAGGCACGACATGGGCAGATACTTTGGAAGTATACCACTGAGCGAGTTTGGGCTAGGTGAAAGTCAGCTGTGAGTTCACTCTGTTGAAGTGTGAAATCCACCCATGGAAGGGTCGCTGAACCTTCAAATGACTGCTTTGTGGCAAAACTTTGATGGATGAATGGTTCACGGTGGTGCCCAAAGGCACAACAGTACCGTGTCTTTCCACAATGTGATGCGGGCTCGGACTATGGGTGGAGGAGAAAATAGCCCTATACTGAGCGTAGGTCTCTCCTAGTGTACAAGTGAAGTTGCAAAGGCAAAGGGAAAATTCCTTCACTCCCTTTTCTCTTCACACCTCAAATTGCCCATATCCACCTATACATAATCCCATGCTCACATCTGGAAAATCTCTTCACTCTTATCTCACAATTTTAGGCTTCTGAGCTTAACCTTTCTTTTTCAAAATTCACATTTAAACCTTTCTTTTAAAAACTCAACACACTAACAACAAGACATCCAAATTCAACACCATGATGAGGAGATCAAGTGAAAGAATAAGGGGAGGCTCAGTCCCCTCACTAGATTCTGAGCAAACTGTCAACCCCCCACTGGAGCTCAACCAATTGGCTCCTACTAACATGACAGGTAACCAGCATGGGAGAGGTTGAGGGGGAGGATGTTGGATCACTAGAGGTTTGACTAGACCTGAAGCTCAAAATGGTCCAACGGGGGATGGAACCCCAGCAATCACTCTTACAGTACCTAGAATGGACAAAGATGGCAACCCTAATGCCACACAGTCCTCAACATCAGTCTCCAATGCTGAAGGAAATCTATTGACAAACAACACACCTGCTCCTAATGGCTCATCAAGCCAAGCAGCTACCAGCACAACAGTCATTCACCCCCATGAAACGGACCAATAGATTTCACAAGCTTGATATCCAGGGATAACATTAGCAATGCTACAAATGGCAACACTGCCACTATACTATACAGTATTGTGATACTGTAGTATAGTCAAGGCACACACATCCAGAATTTCATCAATCATCATTCCAGTTGGCAATACAATAACAACAAAACTCAAGGATCAAAGTCAAAATCAAGCCAGCTGAATCCTTTCATCTCACATTAACTCCTGAGCAATCCATCTTTTTTATCATATCTTCTTTATCACTCAGAATAAACAAGCGCAGAAACCATGAATCAATAATTTAATCAATCACTTGAATTATCACACCAACAAAATCAGAATCAATGAAACAAACAGTCAAAATCAATATCATGTTGAGAGATATCAGATTAGAAAGGTTTTTGAATAGTTTTATGAATGGTAGATCTACAAATGGTTTAAATGAAACTAAATCAAGTTCACCATCACTTCTGATTAATTTAGCTTCAACTGATACAAACACAAATACAGATACGAATACAACACCTACACAATATGGAGCTGATTCTTCATCAAGATCAATGATGACCACTACCTATACACAATCCCCCACCATCACTTGATTCTCTTCTTCTTCTTCTTTGACTTTTTCCAGCAGTACTCCATTCCCATCCACATCATCCCCCTCATCATTTCAAAAGATGAAGATGAAAGAAAGAGGATCAGATGAGATGGAATTAGATTTGTTGGGATTGAAAGATGAAGGGATCAGATCTAGATCTGGATTTGGATTAGGATCATCTTTATTGGCAAATGTGAACTTATTAGCATCAATTTTGAGACAGAATTGAAAGTTGAGTCCGTTTGTGAGATTGATTACTCATGTTGTTTTTAGATCTACTCCTACTACTGTTCAGAATCATAAGTCAGATTTTAGGAAATAGAGGAATGGGTTGGATGGAGTGGGGTTTAGGAGTTGGTTGAAATACTTGAAATCATCATGATAAAAGCTTTTTTTCTCTTGTTGGATTATAACCATAGACGATCTAACAAAAAAACAAAAAAAAACAAGTCTCATTTCATCTATCTGCCAAGTTTTCCTTTATTCTTAGTGCCAATAAATCTTACATCAATAACAATTGATAGAAGACCAATTAAACAAAATCATGTTTGCTGCTTAATCTCCTTAACATTCACATCTTTGGGTCTACATGATCCAAAATGTTGTATGAGTTGAGAAACCAGTCAATCTTGTCAAAACTTAGATTCTATCTTTGTTTTGTTGCCAACTGCTTTTTTCAATTTTGATTCAAAGAGATATTTTTTGATTGTAAGGAGTTGTATTTAAGGGATACTATAATACTATACTGGCTTTTCAAAGTATAGCCAAAATTATACTATACCCGGTATATTGCTATACTGGTATAGTATAGTATAGTGGCAGTGTTGCAAATGGTGAGCCTCAAGCTTTGAATATGACCCACCTGAGGCGATGCCACATGAGCAATGTATTCCTCCACACCTTGTTACATGATTCCACCCTTGTTTGATGCCTCTACAGAGTAAGAACCACAGCTTAACAATCTCATACTAAATTCTTTGGGCCCTTTACTTTTTCTATGGCAGCTCCAACATCTCCTGCACAAAGGAACACCATCACTAGTGTCAGTGTCAGTCCACAGGGTATCCATTCCTGGCTTGTTGCCAATGGACTTTTGGTTGTTAGCAACCCAAACACCACCACTTTGTCAGTGCAGGAAATCACCACAAGACTTGGACACATACCAAAGCCGCTTTCCATGTCAGCGCCCACCGTGCAACCAACTTTATGAGCTAGAACTAGCCAGTCAGGCGGAAAGTGATCCTGTTGCACAACAAGTGATTTGTCTTGACGGTACCGGAACCAACAACAAGACAACTGAAAACCCATCCACCAAAGCCATATCTGTGACAAGGTCATCAAAAACACTGGTTTAGTAGCTCTCTCAAAATACTAGGCTGACAAAATCAAGCCGCTGGAAAGTTACCTACCTCTTTCCATCTTCAACATTAACTGGTTAAAGTAAGAATTGCTCAAGCATACAGTGCAACCAAAGACTTCAAAAGACAAAGAAGACAAGTCTCATGGATTGATGGTTCCCCCAAAGGAAAATGACTTTTGGAGAATGAGTCACAGTGTTTAATCTTTTTGTGGATTACCTCTACTATTACAAACATGACAACCTAGCTGCAAAATTTAAGATTCATAAAGAGAATGTGTTTTCAATCATAAGAGAGAGGCTCTGTTGGCCTATGGCTTTCAGATATGACTTGGCAGTACAAACAACAGTTCTCACCTTTTGTAATTCAGATGAGAAACTAGCAAACCCAGAAGATTGTAACAAGACCATTGAG